TGAAGGTCTTGACCAAATTCACGCCGGAGGAAGATTTCATTCAAATTTACATTTCGGTAATATCCTTATTGCGGACGAGGCAAGCTCTATAGACGCACGTATTTCCGATGTTGGTCTTCATGGTCCAGCTGATGAACAACGTTCTCCTACTGATTACTACGGAAAACTTCAATTTACTGCCCCCGAAATTTTAAGAAAAGAAAAACCAGAAGAGACTAAAATTTGTAAATTTTATCAAGCCGCAGATATTTACAGTTTTGGTATCATCATGGCTATGTTTTCCACTGGAAAAATGCCATTTTCTGATAGAAAAGATGATGAGAGACTTTCCGAAGATATCTGTAACAAAAATTTGCGTCCAGAGATTTGCAAGGAATTGATGCCACAAGTATATTACGAATTAATGACAAAATGTTTGAGTTCAATTCCGGAACAAAGACCTAGCGCCAATGAATTAAATCTATTATTGAGAAAATGGATTTCTGAACTTGGTGACAAACCGAATTTTTCGGAAATTGCATTTCAATTCCATGAAGCCAATGACAAAAAATGGGAACCGACTGTCAGTATGGATAATATAGATGAAAAACACTATTTGAAGATAACTGAAGAAGGTGCGACACGTTGTCTTGCTTAGTTATATCGACCTCGTAATGAGATTTATTTCATATATCTTATTTACTTGCTTTATTATATGCAACGAATTTCGAAAAAATTTTAGACTTTAAAATAAAATTTTAAATAATTGATAACTAGTAAAAATAATTTAAAGGAACCTATTTATTAATCTATTCAGTAAAATTAAAAATTTCGTCGAATGGTTTTTTCATACTATATGCAATATAAAATGTTATATGAAAAACTATTGTTGATATCGTAGAAAGGTTGAGTGGCACAGGCAACGCTGCGATCCAATTATGTATAATTGGATCTATGAGAGTTTTGGAATAATCAGGATCTTTGGGATATTCGAAATATAAGAGATAGGATTGGGATATAAGGGGTTTTAGGAACAGCAAAAAATATGTATACGACATGTAAAGACAAGAAGATAATAAATAAATAAAATTTCCAGTTAAAACATCAAATCATCTTATACTCGATCACTTACCTCGCGCCAGATCTAAATGCCTCTTTACGATCGGCGATCGCGACTTAGCGACAGACTCGCCAATTTGAATAGAAAAAGTTTAATCGTACGATAATTCAAGAAATAAGTTATAATTAAACATTTTTCTAACAGGAGATTTTTCTGTAATATTAAATATAATGAGCATTAAATAAATTAAATTATGATATAACATAACAAGAAAAATGATGCACCCCACAGAATAGTGTTTCTCAATCTAAAATTAAATTAAATTAAATAATAAAACCATAATTAAACGAGGTTTAATATTCTTTACCTCATTTAAAAGTTCGTCACTGAGCTAAGCTTATCTAAGCTTGTTAATGCTACTTTCCCAGGATAAACAGGACTTCTAACCCATTTCTTGTTGAGAACATCACATTTTTCAATTTTACCATCCTTCCATGCCACTAAATACACAGTGCCATATCCTCCTTTAGCGATATATAATATTTGACATCTTGAAATTATTTATATTATATCTATTCTAATATCTTATAATACTTTTTAACTTGATTCTGAAATTTTTATATAAATTCATTAAATTCATTTGTTTTCACTAGTCAAAATTTTGTTAAAAGTGAATTTTATTACATGATATACACTATTAAGGTAATGAAAATTTTTAATTATATTTGAAACAACAATTAGATATCTCTTTAACAAAGATTTTTGATTAAAATAAATTGTAATTTCTGTATTATTTTCAAATAAAATTTTCAGATCATGTGAACTCTTGTATAAATATAAATAAAAAAGTACAAGTTATTGATTGTATATAAATTATATTACAAATTGTTGCATAGTGAAAAATTCATTAGTTTTTACAGAAAACTATATATTAATAAAATAAACAAAAGAGCAAGAAGTTTACAATAGAAGATTTTAATTAATAAAATTAAAAGAGTTTTTACAATATCTAATAAAAAAAAACATATCAAAATTGTATAACAAGTATCAAATAATCTTATTAGGATAATTTAGCTTAAGTATAAAGAAAAAGGCAAGAAGACAATTACAGATGAAATAAATACATATGATTTTGAAATATATAACCTAAAAACAATAATTAGGATCTTAGATATTCTTTAAAACTTTTCTATTGTTAATATTTCTTTTGGCAAGTCTGACACTTCTTTAAAACAATTTTCACATAACATTAAATAAGGTTTTGACTTCTTTACTTGGGATGTATAATTTGATTTGATTAAATTCTTTACTAATAACTTTTTCTTTTCTTTTCATTATTTATTTCTTTTAATAAGTCTTGTTACTTTTTTTTTTGTGATTTCAGATATTCTATTTCATGACAAGTATTAATTAAGTATAGTAAGTTAATTAAATTTTACTCACTTTTAATAATATTAATTATGTATCTTAATTAGTAAGTTTTAATTTAAGAAGTGGTTTATTTATTATTATTTTATTATAATTATTATTTTTCTTGTTTTTTTTATTATCACTCTTTCTTATTATTGTTATTTTTTTTTTTTTACATATAATTTTTCTTATTCTTTTTTTTTATTATATTAGTATAATATATTTTCACTAGTTAATATTATATATATAAATAAAATTAAATTTAACTATTTTATTAATTTTAGATTTTAATTAATTATACAGTCTGGTGCAAAAGTCTTTGGACTTCTATTTCAACTTATAATTTAATAACTAATTGATAAAACAATATAATA